TCAGTGTCCCCAGGCATGAAGTGTTTTGTTTCAAATTTTACTTCCTTGACACAAAAGAGCAGATTATTTGTGCACTGTCATCCCATTTTGGCACCGACTCGATCCCTTCTGTGTCCTATTAATCTCCACATAACGCCATGCCACATATTAGCTCATCTGCTGTGCCATAAATTCCTACGGACACCGTTCACGCGGCTCTGATGGTCCAGGGGGAGAAGGCAGGGAGTGGGCCCAAGGCTCCGCTGACATCACTCACATGTTTGAAAACCACCACATCTGCTTCAAAAAACAGCGTACATCCTGATAAACAAACAACAAGCACCTCCTGTGACCCACTCCAGTGCGTGAGGAACGGATCCACCTCTCCAAAGGAATCGTGTTAGCGAGAAGGTACCTCAGGGAGCTACACTGAGGAGCATCCGAGGAAGAGCTGCCTCTCCTTCCCAAGCGGAGCTCGGTCTACGAGGCTGCAATTATATCTGCACCTATTACAGAGGCATCGTGCATGATAAAAAGCTGGGTTTGGTGGCTGCTATTTCTATGGCAACTCACAAAATACAGAATTCTTTGAAAGAGTTAGTTAAGGGTCTGTGTTCCTCAGTGTCATTCAATCCTTTACGAATAATTTAATCTTGACAGTTGAGGTAAAAAGGAAGTTAAAATCAAGTTGCCAAAGAGCTTGTACACTACAGAAACTGTGTAACTGTGAACTTGTGGAGGTTTTGGTCTTCTCCTGGCAATCTGAAAATAAATCTTTACATTACCAGCAAATCTGTTCTAGAACCAAATGTTCTGGATCTGATTGTAACACTTGTATGAAATTCAGAGTTTCAGGGGCAGGGGATGTGTTTTCTTGCACATATGCTCTGCTCCTCATACAGCAAAGCTTCCTTTGCTGGGGCTTAGGACAATATGAAGGCCAAGTAAAGCACAAGTTCTGTATCTTTTTCACACTTAACACACACAGTTAGTACCAATACAGTCTACAACATGTAAATATATATCTTCATGGCTTCTTTTGAAGACCAAACATATAATCTTCACTTTGCTGAAGAAGAAACAAGTAGGAAACCCTGACTGTATACACACACACACACACACACACACACACACAAACCTGGAAATTTTACAACAAAGGGCGGGCAATCACCCAGGAAAGAAAAAAAAAGCACCATATTTTCAAATGTATTTGGACATCTATTACGGCATCAATTACAGATAGAAAGCACTGACCAAGGATGAGGACATAAAGTGCTCTTCTTTATAAGCTATATTAAAGTTCCCCGAGATGCCCTTCTCTCTATTCTGCCATTGCTTTACATTAATACATGGCCACACTGCTTTACCTTAATACATTAAAATCTACATACAGCTCTAGATCTGTACCTACAACTCCAGAAGCCACATTATGCTTCTATAGTGTGCAGCATGAAACTGCAAGCCTAATGAAGAATGCTGGTCTTACAGTTTTGCTCACTGAATCATATGAAAAATAGGCACCTTAACATAAAGTATAGAGAATGCAAATTGAGGTTGAGGAAAAAAAAGCAGAGTGAGTGCTGTGTTACTCAGTCCAGCTGCTGGGAGATGGAAATTGTGCAGAAGGTACAAAGTTTCTGCTGGGATCTGTAATATTCATTTCCAGCACTTTTGACAGAGGAAGACAAAGCTAGAAATAAGTCTTGGCCAGAAATTTGGTGTTCAAGAATAGAAAAATTAATTATATTGCTGTAAATCCTACTGACATCAAGGCAAGTATACAGGAAGTCATGATCCCAACCATCTGTTTATGGGTAAAGGAAAAAAAAAAGTTTTTTAATCTCTTCAGAATCTGAGGGAAATGAGATAAAGCTTAGCAGAAAAAGAAAACACAAAATTGTTAACAATCCTGATTACAACATTATAATCCAAAACATCTCTTATGTTCAAAACTATAAGTGTTTCATAATACATACAAAAAAAGCTCTTCCAGGGTTATTTGAGATTTGAGGGTCAGATACAGGCACATCAGCAGTGCAGAATGGTGAAACTGCATTTTAGTGTACATAACTCTGTAATGACAGTGCATCTGTGCTTATCAACACCCACTCAAGGAGCTGCAGCAGAGAGGGGCACTGAAATACATCTCAAGCACCAGAATAAGCTTCAGTGCAGTCAGTTACCCTAAAACTTCTCCAGGGCATAGTTAGTTGCTGTTCATTTTATTAATTATTCAAAAAGGTATTACTGCTTTAATTTGCTTGCTGTGCACACAAAGCAGTAAGTTTGTTTTGCAATGAAACATCTTATTGGGATCAGTATATAACAGATGAAGCAGAGTGTCTTACTTGGATGTCAGCCTGCATCTCCTGCCTGTTCCATCTGTGCCAACGAAGTCACCCACAGACTTAGACCAACTATGCTGTTTCTCCCCCTTCTCTCTCTGTCCTCCCTCCAGGACAGAAACTGTGGTAATGAAAATACAGATTGTTTATGGTAAATACCCTAACACCACTGATTATTTTTGGCTGCTGTAATGTGCAAATATGCCCAATTTCTGTAGAAACTATGAAAATCTCTGCATTTCCAGCCAGATGCTGCTGTTACATTAGCCAATCATGTGCTTAGAATCGTGTATGAGATTCTACGGATTAAAAGGTATTTCTAATATTTCCGTCCCTCCTCTGCTCCCTCCCCTAGAAGTAAAATATGTTTCTGCCTTTTAAAGCACCTTATACTTCACAGGGTAACGATGAAAACCACGTGTATTCCGAGCAAGAGCATCCTCTGCACGAACAAGCGCCCGCGGCACCGCGCACACGATCGGGACGCTCGCCAGGGCAGCTGTGCAGGGCATCCCTACCTCTCCATTCACTTTCAGATACAAGTGTGAAAATTGAAGCCACTAAATGTCTATTAAGGGAAGACCACAGCATAACTAGCACTGAAAAGAACAGCTCCTGAAATGCCACAGCAAGATATGGCTGGTTTGACAGCCCTTAGGATGCGAGTGTAGCCTGTACAAGATAAGAGTAGCTGCTCTATTTATTACGCTGGGCTGCTCTGACTTGAACTGGTTGGGATGTGGCCAAAACTCTCCTAGAACTGGCATGCTGCAGCCAGGCCTTAAATGCATCTTTGTTGAACATCTTGAGCTGAAGCAAACATCTTCCCTGCAACTGAAGTGCGAGCTGGAAGCCTGAGCAACATCGTCAATACCTTCCTTCTCTAGGGCTTTGCGAAGTTAAGTGGCCTGACAAAAAACCTTATTTGTGCAGCAGTTCTTCTGCTGTTCCCTTCTAACATCACAAGTGCTCCAGCAGTTTCTCATGAGGCAAAATGCAGCACTGATTAATTAACGTATTGATCTGTACTAATACATCCTACACCCACAACGGGGTAACTAACTCATTAGATGCAGCACTGAAAATCACACAGCATGGTTAGAGGGAGCTTTTGTGCCTTGCTGCAGGGGCACAGAAGTTTGGCCATAAGCAAGAAAGCACCATAATCAAATTCAGAAGCATTTTGCTAGCAGTGAGGCACTGAGGAGCCTGCAAGGAGGCAGGCAACGGGCGGCTGACAGGATGGGTTAGTGCTGGGTGCTCCCTGCAGAGCAAGCTCATGCGAGCTGGTCTTCCAAGGCTTTCTTTGAACCAGTGAAAACAAAACAGTTCTAGAGACACGAAACAAAATCCATTTCAGGAAGAATATAAGGGAAACTTACTGCTAGGGCACCACTAGAAAAGGGCCATTTCTGCAGTTAAGGTAAACTCTAAATCCTTTCAACATGCTCCTTCTCTACAATTCAATCTTGGACTACACTGAAAATATTTTATGCTAAATCCTACGTTTTTGCCCTCTAATATATTCAGTTGCATCTTGTATCAGGAATACTACTGGAGAAAAACATCATCTTTTTCAGCAGAGGCAGGAAGGAAGCCAAAAGGTCATTTCCCTCTTCACCTTCCCTGCTCCCCTCTCCCCTCCACCATATATAGTGGTTTCCCTTCCGTTCTTCTGATGTAATCAGAAACTGCCTCAAAAATTTGCTTTGCAGAACAAAACCCCGTTAGACTGACCAACATGTCTGGATCCTAATTCTTCTCGCTTCCACAGAGCCTCTGCCCTTCTCCCCTTCCACTCTCCTGTCTCCTTTTTTCCAACAACCACCTGGTATTTACTTCCAGGGCACAGTGGGACGGGTAGAGGGAAATCACCCCCCTTCAGAAGGGCTGCCCAGTGTCCAGGGCTAGGACAATATTCTCCTTCATCCTTTCACATCGAAGGTCTCAGGCAGATCAGCATGGTATAGCAACAAGCAACCAAAAAAAAGCAGGGAGCCAAAAATCACAGATTTCTGGAGGGATTTCCGTGTTTCTGCTGACAACAGCAAAGTTCATCCTGCTGTTTTAGAAAAAAATGAGTGTATTTAATAGACTATGTTGATAAAATCTTTCATCCTTTCCAATGGTTCATGGATTTTGCTTTCCCCCGCCACATTTTTTTTAATAATCTGCATGTACTTTCCTTCCTGATAGCATTAGTCAAGCTCAAAGTCAGTCACAAAATAGAAAGATATCGTTAACGTTTCCTAATGGGAACCAAGAAATTGAGCCACAGAAACGTGAGCTGGACTGAAGGTCGGAGAGCTGCCTGCTAGCAAGGACCAGAGCAGCTCCCGTTTCTCCAGACCTCAGTACAATGCCATTGCTGATAGGCCTCACTCTTTCTCAGTCTCTGGGTGAAATCAAATGTTCTCAAACTAGATTTAAAGAAGTATTTAAAATTTGCAAAATGTCATATTTACAATATTTTTTGATACAGCAGTGGAACAAATGCTAATCAGGTATATAGCTGCTTTGCTTAATACAACTCATTGTCTTCTCTGATTTTGGATAGAAAAAGAAAACAGATTTGTATACACTCTAGCAAGGGCATTAACAAGGCACAATAAATGCAGCAAGGCATTAATTTCAGACAAACGCAGCCATGTAGGGGATCACAATTACGTTACCTACCGAATTTTTGGTCAAACCTCCACGCTGGGACGTGTGCATTGTGCTTGAGGTTGCTGTTGGGGGGCAGAGGCACTGTCACGTAGATGGGGCCGTTCACGGGGACCGGGGTCCCATCGCTGCTCAGCAGGTGAACGCTGACTGCCGTGACGGGGGTGAGGTCGTACCTAGTGCTGTTACCTGCCACGAGAAGGAAGGATGTAATGGCTACGTATTTTCCCCAGCATTTAAGACATGCCCAAAAGGTTCAACACCACGGTACTGGACGGGTCTGTTTCTCAAAGGAGGGTGATATTTGGGAGGGGGTAGGAGAAGCTTTAGGTACAGTTTATAATCAAGAGGACCTGGAGCACAAAGCAATAGGTATCGAATTCTGCCTGGAACAGGCATCGACTGCCTGTAAAGCACCTTCCCATCCCAGACTGGTAAATTTTAAGCTACTACAGCATTTGTGAGAGGTGCCAAAGGGAAGACACTGGGAACAAGGGATGTTAACTCTGTATAATTCTACAGGCTCGGCTCTGAGCCAGGCTTGAGCGCCGCTTTACGGAAGGCGGCAGCCGAGGAGGGATGAACGGGCCGACCCCGGCACAAACCCTCCGCTTTGATCCGCTCTAAGCTGCGGGGCAGCAGCAGAGCTTCCAGGGGGATGAAAGTGCTCAGAAAAGAGGCACTCTGAAGATGGCCATATCAAAAAGCCACGGAGGTGACAGGAAAGAAAATAAGAAGAATCAGAAAAATAAGGTTTGGGAATTCAGCTAGGGAGGAGGGGAAGGCTGCCAGGATACCCAGGCATTTATATTACCAGCTCCAACGGTGCAAGATATCATCCCCTCACAGCCTCAGGATACAAAGCAGAGAGAAAGGAGCGAGTTGAGGAGTGGGGAAAGGCTGTTCCTTTATTCGCTGTATATTTATATATACAGTATATATCTGTAATTGCTGTGAGATTGACTCTTGGTCCTAAATTCATTTCACATCAACCATCATGCAAGTCTACAGCAGATCTGGCCTCCAATCTCCACGGATCTGAACTATATTAAAACTTGCAACTATCACAATAAGGCCAAATGTGCCATTATTAATCTCCCAAACCATCTATTCTGCACATGAAACTAAATTCAGTGATGACAGGTATCACAGCACTGCAAGAACTCTGTCAAGTTCCTTCAACATGGAAGTGAGAGAGTTGATTATGTTTTATATTGGGGGGAAGGTGCTTTATTTAGAGTGAGGTTACTCTGAATGGTGATTATGTTTATGATAAGTCAAATAAACAGCATTTAATTTAAAATGACAATATATACCACTGATATCAGCACAGAATGAAATACCAAACAACCTTCCCTGAGGCTGATGTCAGAGAAATAAATTCCTGTTGCTAAATTATAGCATAACCTGGTCAGGTCTTGGAATACACAAATTCAAACATATAACATAAATGTTTCTGGAATCTAAAATTAATATCTCAAAATAAATTATGTTTTATATTTCAGTTAATTTTTTTTAGAGATTTATTGCTGTCTTTAGTGTCTTGATAAGACATATCTACCTTGTATCTGCAAATATGTATTTTCAGATGACAAAAAATGCCCCATTGGTGATTTTTTTTAATTTTATTTTTTACTTAAGGAGTACTGAAATTACAGTCAGTAGTGAGCTAAGTTATATTAGAATATAAAGAAGTTTCTGAAATCTACTGACCTGTGGCAAGAAAAATCTTTTAGGGTGCTACCTGTACAGTAGATAAATGCTCATTAGAGATAACTTTTCTCCTTTCTGTTGTGAAGGTAAATAAAAAAAAAAAGATGCTTATGAAACACTCAGATGCTATAAAAATGGTAACCACATGCACAGATTAAATGGGAGTTGACTTCAATAAATGTCAGCTTTCATTTATCACTTGCCATTTTTGACATCTGGTGACCTGTAAAAAGCTGGGGAAGTCAGGAAAAAATCTATTGTGACTTCGACTTGACTCTTTTGCAAAGAAGCCACCGAACCACCACGGGTAATGATTATTCGTGAGCTCAGGCCATCGCTGCAGATTGTGGAAGCTCTGCTTAGGTTGGGAAAGGGGTGGGATTCTGTGCACCCACTGCAGTGCTCAGTGCAATGAGGGCTCCAGCGCTGTGCAAACCGCAGCGGGCTGCCACTGTGCAGCCCTATCCCTATTCCTACTACCTGCCTGGAATGTTTATGCTGGGTACAGGCTCATTCCGGCACCGAATTTCCACTTTTCCATATTACCACTTCAACACCCAGTTGGAATTGTGAGAAAACTTTTTTTTTCCCCCTTTTTTCCTCTCAACTCAAAGTGAAGAGATTTTAGTTAAAACAACTATAAAGACACGCTAGAAAAACAGTGGCCACAAAATTGAGCATGTTTAAAAAATGGGGGGACCTGCTCCAAATGTCTACAGAATTGTAAATGAAGAGTAGCATCCACAAACAGCCTATATTTTCCTAGGCAAGTTGATGCTAGGTTATTTAAAAATTTTAGAATTTGGACGTGCTATTTTCCTTCTTTTCTTGAGAATGGGAATATTTAAATATCCCCAGCAGGTGGTGACCTCCTTTTTTTTCCTCCCTTCACAAGGTTTTTCAGGTGAAATCTTTGCCAAGTCACTTAGAGATGGAGAAGATGGGAAAGTCTATCCGAGTTTAGGAATGCAATGTTTCCACACCAGGACTAATTCCTACAAAAAACAGGACATTGCATCTATATCACAGTTCGCGTATGAATACACTGTATTCACAGGCTATATTGTACTGTGCTGAATACTACAGTATTCAGAAAACAAGGCTCGCTCTCAGGCTCTTAAGCCCCATTTCCTTCCAGGTTGTTTTGGTCTTCTATGTCGATAAATGTCCGATCCAGCCCGGCTCCGCTCGAGCTCCCAGCCCAGCCTGCGCACAGCGAAGACCAGGAGATCTGGAGGCTCCTCTGCTTGGGAGGAGCCAGGGAGGCCGAGCAGCAGGAGATGAAGGGCCAGTTGTGCAACTCACGGGAGAGGCAACCGCTTAAAAGTGAGGATCTTTTTGGCTAACTAAGTGCAAGGGA